CCCCCAGCCCCCCAAACTCCGCCTTCCCCAAGCCTACCTAATAACCACCCCCAAAGAAGAGAAGCAACAGGGGCTCCCCGCACCCCTTCCCCACTCCCAGCTCTGCTAACCACGCGGCGCACGCGCGCGCGCAAGCACGCGCGCGCCCTTACACACACACACACACACACACACACACACACACACACACACACACACACACTCACACACCCCACCACCATCCTAGGAAGATCTATGCTGAAACTCCTTTCCTCCTATTATCCATGGAGGGGGCGCCAGCGGTTCAACCTACATACCTCCCCATCCTTGGTTCCCTCAAATTCCTGGGGCTGAGGGTGGGAAGAGGAAATTGAGTCTTGGAACCCCAGGAAGATCCTTATTCCCAGTTGGGGGGTAAAGGGTTAAGGCAGGAGCCAGTCTTCAGAGGCCAGACCCAACTGAACCGGGATGGAATAGGGTAAAAGGGAAAGGATTGAACCTAGATGTGAGAAAGAACTAACAGAGGGCAGGGGGGGGGGGAGGACGTTGGAACAAGTCTCCATGGAACCATCTTCCTTTCCTAGAAGAACAACCCCAGAGAAGCAAAGAAGTGTGTACATTGCCCTAGGTTGGAGATCAGGAAACCTGAGTTCTGATTCTTAATCCTTGTTCTTCCATTAACAAGTTGTGTAACCTTTGGGTAAATGCCTTCCTCTCTCTGAGCCTTAGTTTCCTCATCTGTGCAATGAGGAAGTTGACTGGACAATCTCTAAGGCTCTGACCTTCTTCTGTGGACATAGGAGGCAATGTCACAAACCATAGGCCAGGCTGAGTGACTACCCCTTCATGCCATCCACCTGCACCACTTTTCCCTGCAGCCCCTAGGACAGGCAGAAAGGAAACTGGCATTCATTCATTCCTGGATGTATCCATTCAATAAATAGGTGCTGGGTAACTATGCTGTGCCCTGTTCAGAAATGAAACACACACTATCCTACCTTCAAGGAGCACAAAGTCTAAATGGGGAGGAGGGACATGGAAACCAATCATTATGACAGAATAAGATAAAGGTTATGCATGATCAGCCCGTGTGTGTGCACAGTCACTGTAGAATCCTCCTGTGTGTCATGTGCTACATTGGAGTCTGACATATAGTAACTGTTACCCCATTTACCCTTAAGGAACGGAGGCCGAGGGAGGGTGAGTGACTTACTCAAGGTCACCTGCTCGTACTCACAGAGGTAGTCCTAGAATCCAGATCTTTCCCATTCAAAAGTCCACGGGGATGTTTGGGAGTAGAAAGTTAGCTTGAGGTAAAGCCTGGATATCTGATCTTTGGGGATAGAGGACAAGCACACTGATCTGCTGGGATGGTCCTGCCCCCTCATCTGGGGCAGAAGGGCCACTACCTCCACCCCCACCCACCTACCCACCCACCCACATACATACACACCCCACTCCTGGTCCTGCCTCCATTTTCCTACTGTTCCCTTAACTAGATCAGGTGAAGGTGACTCTGTCTGCTTATTGCTTCAGAACTATCCAGCCTGCATGTTCCTCACCTTGTCAGTGAATCCATCCTCCCTTCCCAAACAGAAGAAGGGGATACTCCTGAAGAGGCAGAAGTTCTTCACTCCCATGGCAGAGGAGGAATTTCACTTGGGGGCTCATTCCAATGTCTCCCACCCATGCTTTTGGGGAAGTCCTGCTTCACAGCTAACTCCAACCCCTCTACTGGTTTTACCCCTTTCTACCTAGTTCAGTCCTCACTGCAGACAGAGAGCAGAGGTCCTACCCTTTCCCTTTTCTAACCCAAATAGGCTCCTCACCCTCCCCATTTAGTTGTTATAATCTTCCTCCTGTCCCCCACCCCCCACTGCCTTCTCTTCCTCACTTCAGGGGCTTTTGGAATTGAGATAGGTAGTCCAACTCCTTTTGCTCAACCCTGAGCTTCCAAGAGATAAAAGACTACCCCCACCCCTTCTCCATTCACATATATTATCCTTCCAGGGAAAAGAGGGGTAAAGAAAGGGGGCTTGGAAGGACCCAGCTGACCAGCTGGTCACCATGGCAACCGGGCCTCTTTCCAGACAATAAGCCTGGCTGGGAGTGGGTGTACGACTAAGGAAACTAGAAAACACAAGCAGAGAGAGAAGAGGATCAGAGGGTCCTAGCCTCACAGAAGACTGGAGCTGAGGAAGCGAAATCAGGATTCTGACTATGCTGTGGCCTGAGTCAAAGTCCCCAGGCCATCTTTCCAGATGATGATGCATGGTCCCTCTCCCCATTCCTGAAGTTTCCCCAGATGGGCTTCCCGTCAGAGTGCAAGCTAGGTGCTGGAAGCAGTGGGCAACTCAATGCTGACCTCATGTGGCCAAAAGGGGATGCCACACACCTTTTATGGTTCAGAGCCAGACAAGGGCTGGATGGGGGTAGATTTTTTCCTTAAATTCAGCCTCTGTATGAATGAGAGGTACGGTCACTGCACACTCCTGAGTTCTTGTGTCCTTACAGAGGGCTCAAGTGCACCAAGCCCTTAGACCTTCATAAAGGAAAGTTTCACTGAAAACCATCTTTCAGTTTTGGATTAGGGACAGGAAAACCCAGCTCTGCATTTTCTGACTGTTTGACCTTAGGCAAGTCAATTCACCTCTCTGGGCCTCAGCTTCCCAAACTTTAAAATGGAGCTAAAAGTGTCAGATTTTGAACGCAAGTGGTCTGGGTCTGGAGTTTATGACTGTACTTTTTTGCTCCAGCCTTTGAGGTTGGGAGAGGAACATGTCAGGGGAGGAAGTTGAGAACGTCTGAAATCACACTGACCCCAAGGGGAAGGAGATGCCTCAATTTCCTTCGGATTTCCCCTCATGGCTTCTGACTGCCTCATGCTCAACACTCCCTCCCCACTCTGGTCCTCCATGGGGATGGAGAGCAGTAAGTCATCTCCTCCCGCCTGCCCTCCTCATCTCTTCTCTCTTTGCTAACCCCCTCCTCCTAGAGACTAGGTACTTCTCTTCTCCCCAGCCCGCTTCCCTTCCCATTTCCAGCTCAAATGGAAACTTCCCTGCCCCTCACCCCCACTGGGTAGTTGCCCCCCCCCGTGTGCCCCCACAGCACCCTGTTCTCATTCCTGTCTTAGCACAATGACTCTGTGTTGTAATTGCCAGGGAGCTTTTTGAAGACTGGGGACCATGAGACATTTTTTGGTGGCGGTGGGGTTGGTAGGTGGTGGATATAACTGTTACTGTGATACTCCATTTTGCTTCCAGCAGAGAGGACAATGTCAGCCATGGAGGAGAAGCTCCATCCATGTTTATCAAACGGGTGAATAGATAGATGAATAAAGTGAGATTACACAGGGGAGGGCAGTAGGGAAGCTGGCTGGTAGCTGTCTACGCTTACCCCAGCATTCTCCCCCCAGTGCCAGGGTGGAAAAGGATGCTCCCTTGGGAGTGATCTTCTAAAGGCTTTGCTGGCCCATGGTCGATGGCACTTGGGGTAGGGGGTAAATCATGGGGCACTGGTTTGGGGCTCACCACGTGGGTGGGGTTTGCCTGCCACTTCCCTGGGCCCAGGAAAAACAGGGACAGGGACAGATGAAAGATGTGTCGGCATTGGGGCTGAGGCTGGGGTGGGCACCTCAGCAGTGTGGTCCAGCATATCTGGCTCCCCCTCATCCTGGCTGCACCATGAGGAACTTAAACTTCCCTGACCACGGGTGGTCACCAGATGCTGTAACGCTGAGGCCAGTGTTTCGTCCCTGTGAGGAATGACCACTCTGCTTTTTTTAGAAAACAAAAAACATGACCACCTTGCTTTTTTTAGACAACAGTCTGCCTGAGAAAATCTGCTTTTGAAAAACACATCCTCGTGCCCAATTCTATGTGATTTGGAAAGTTGACACAGGAAACCCTCTATCCAGGACCCAAAGGGAGAACCTCTCCTTTAAAGACAATGGGTGTCCCCTTTCCCTACCCAAATTCCTGGGCACTGGTAGATGAGAAGGCAAGAGAAATTGAGAGAAATGAGTAGGAAATAGCAATGCTTCCCCAGCTTCCACCACCCACGTGCCCTAGACGCCTCGTTTGTACAATTAATAAATACGCCTTTAAAAACAAACGAATGAATAAATGAATGAAAGGAATCAATGAAGAAATGGAGGAAGTGAAGGAAGGAAAGAATGAATGTATGGAATTAATGAATGGAATGAAGAAGGAGGAGAAACGAATGAATGAGTGAGTGAGTGAATGAATGATTGAACGGATCGATGGATGTATGAATGAATGATGAATGGGTGAATTAACGCACAAGTGAGTCAGGACCGGGTAACCCCGGACTCCCAGCCAACGCAGAGGGCGGGGTAAGGGGGATTCCGGAGGGCGGGGCCTCGGTCCGGAAGCGCCTGTCGGGGGCGGGGCCTAAGGGGCGGGGCGACAGAGCGCGTCAGGCTGGGCAGTCAGGCTGCCCAGAGTAGCCTCTGCGGTGGACCCCACCAGCGCTCCCGGCCAAGTCTGCACTTCTCTCCGAACCCTCGGGCCCCCGCAGCCTCGGAAAGAGGCCACTTCGGGCCGGGCGCCCGTTCCACAGGCAGACCTGCAACCCGGAAAGGCGGTGCGGCGGAGCCCAAAGCCGGATCCTGCTCGGACCTGGCCCCCGCGGGCCGGAGCCGCGGGCATGTCGGAGGCGCGGAAGGGGCCGGACGAGTCGGATGAGACCCAATATGACTCGGGCATCGAGTCTCTACGCTCTCTACGCTCCCTGCCCGAGCCCACCCCCGCCCCAGCCTCTCGGCCCTCTGACGGCGGAGGCCCCCAGCCCTGGACCCATCCTCCGGGAACCGCCAAGGAGCCACAGGAGAAGGAAGACACAGATGGGGAGAGGGCTGACTCCACCTATGGCTCCTCATCGCTCACCGAGCCCCTGACCTTTCTGGGGAGCCTCGAGACCGAAAACCCATCCCCAGGCTCGCCGCTTCCCCCAGCGGGAGCCCTGAGCCCTCAGCAGCTGGAAGCACTCACTTACATCTCAGAGGACGGAGACACGTGAGTATGGGGGCTAGGCTGAGACAGCACCCCTTCCCGATGCTAACTCGGCGCTTCCCCAGGAGCTGCAACAGGCCAGGCACCCCCTCTACGAGGATCCCTCAAAGCACCTGCCCTGGAAGGGGCAGTCCCGACTCTCTTCCAAACTCCAAACTTAACTTTCAACCCATGTTTGAACTCTAGCCGGGCCTAGACCAGAGGACCTGGCATTATCTCTCTGCCTTCCCTTTAGGAGGTGGGCAGAGCTGTCAGGGCCCTTACCAAGCCCCTGGAGCCCCAGCTAGCATTTTGGAAACCTACCAATAACCCACCACTAGGAAGAGAAAATTCCCCTGACCAGTCCAGTTTTTTTCCTGCTGGGGGAGAGGGCATCCTTGCTTGCACAATATCTGGGATTCCTGGCACCTGACCTCAGAAGGCCCTGTCTCAAGGAACAAGAGGTGCCAGTTACAGGTTGCCAGTGGGGGCCAGGAAGCAAGGGGTGGGGGTACCGCCAGGATGCAGAGCTGAGGCTGGCCCTAAGGAGGAGGGGATGAGCCAGGCTGGGGCACTCTTGCCCCAGCAGATAGACAGGCGGCTGGCTGCCTCAGCGTACTTCCTCTCTGCTGAGAAAGGGGAAGTGAGGGCTGGAGTCAGCCTTACCTACACCTTCCATCTCCTGAGCTCCCCCAAGTCCTCCCTCACTGTCCTGTCTGACCCCTTTACTTCACCATTCCTCCCCCAGGCCCAGGTGGAGCTTGGTGGGATCTGAGCTGGGTGGCAGTTGAAGTAAGAGGGAGGGGGGGGCTGGCCAGTTGGGGATTTTTTCCTCAGGAAGAAGAGAAAATGTTAGGAGAGGGGGTGGCTCGGATCTGGGGATGAGAAACAGAGTGGAGGGGGCTGGGGTCCCAGATAAGGGATGCTGAACAAGGGGGACAGGCGTGTAGAGTTGGAAGGAGGTTCCTGTCCTGACCTGCTTTAGTGGAGATGCAAGGGTCCCAATCCTGGGTGGCCTTTGGGACCCAGAGGCCTCAGGACCCAGTGGGTGGAAGAGGAATGATCCCAGGCCTTTTGTACTCTGTGTCCAGATCACCAGCCCTCAAGCCCAGAATCAAGATTTTGGGTGCTCCCTGAGGAATACCTATGGCTGACCTTTGACCCAGGGAGTGGGGACATCTGGCACTGCCCTCCTTTGTTAGCCTCTCTCTCAGCCCAGGCTTTACCTCTAATTAAAGACAGGTGTTGTGTCTAGATTGGGCAGGGGGAGGTGTCAAGATTCCCCAGGGGGGTTCCTGGAGAGGAGGGAGCACTTTCTTCCTTCGGAAGTGTCTGGGCTGCGGGGCATATGGAAGTGGGAAGAGGAAGTGGGAGGAGGGGAGACTGAGGGAGAGAGGGAGGTGGCTGCAGGAATGTGACCCAGAGAGCAGGTCCTGGCGGAGGGGATTTCCAGAGCGGTTCCTCCCGCTGCTGACACTCTCTCCTGGGCCTCTCCCCCTGCCTGCCGCCAAGCCTGCCGCCAAGCCTGTCCCCCTCCTGCCTGAGCAGCCCCCTCCCCAGCTCAGACAGGCTTTTTAGCTCAGCACCCCCACCTCATGTATGCCTCAAGGCAGCTGTCCCAGCCTAGACCCTCCAGCTCTGGCTTTCGTTTTCCCCACCTGATGTGGGGAAACCCCAGGACTGGAACTTCCCCTCCCAGCTGCCCCCCTAGCCCTAGGTTAAGGCTCTTTGTCCAACAACAAACACGTCTTTTCTGCACTTCACAGATCTCCCCTAGGAGGTACACACAGAGTGGAGGGCTCTGGCCAGACCCACAAGGTCTGTGCTAAGGAATGGTTCTCTTGATTCCTCTGAAAGGGGCAGTGGGACAGGATGTTGCACTGTCTCCTTGCTCCTCATCCAAGAGCTTCTGTTTTCTGTCCCTTGGCATGTGCAACATTGAGTTGTCGGGGTGGGGGTGATCCCATTCCTGCCCTCTCTGTCCTCTCCATTGTGGTGGTGGTGGTGGGGGGGCAGCTCCTGGACACCACCTCTGCACTACCAAAGCCAGCTTTCAGTTTGGCTTTGAGCTGCAGCTGACCTGGTGGGGCTTTGGGGCCAGAGGGGAGCGGGGTGTGGGCAGGCTAGACAGGAAGGACCTTGGCCCATCAGCATTCTGCCCACACTCTCACTAAGCCAAGGCCCTCCTTGAAAGCCAGAGATGGGAACTTGGAGCTCCCACCCCCAGGATTCTGGCTTCCCGTACCAACCCTCACTTCTTGGCCCAAACTCTCACTTCCTGCACCTACCCTATGAGTAGCTTCTGAGAGATGTGTTCCTTTTAACCCCAGGACCCCAGCCCATTCTCTTGGGCCTGGGTCCTGACACTAAACCCTGCCCGTGCCCTCCAGGCTGGTCCACCTGGCAGTGATTCACGAGGCCCCAGCTGTGCTGCTCTGTTGCCTGGCTTTGCTGCCCCAGGAGGTCCTGGACATTCAGAACAACCTTTACCAGGTGGGTGGAGAGGGTGGGCTGTGCCCAGATACTCATATCTGCTGTGACAGCCATCCCCAGCAGCCACATCATGAGGGTCCTTAGGCTGCTCACTCAGGAAACCATATGCCAGACACTGGGCTAGAAGCTGAGGATACAGACAGGAGTAAGCCTCTGCCCACAGGGTGCTCAAACCTGGGCTAGGGTACTCGCATCATTACCTAATCTCACAGCATAGTGACAAGAGTTGTAACGGAGACCCATACCAGCTGCTGTGGGAATCCAGTGTCTGTGGGGAGCAGCCAGGGAAGGGCTAATACAGGAGGTGACCTCTGTATGGGGCCTTAAAGAGGAGTATGCCAGGTAGAGACTGCCTGGTGCCTCTGTCTTTATTCCCCAGCCCCTCCTGTCACTTAGCCTCTGGGGATAACAGAGTTCTCCCTAGGGGGTGGGATGGTAGACCTTGCCCCCACCTGTCCTTTCTCCAGGGGCTAAGGGCCGCTTCCCTCATCCTGCCTCCAGAGCTGGGGTCCCAAGAACGTGGTGGGGCCTGACAGAGGGAAGGGCTTGGTGGTGTTGCGTTGGAAGACCAGGGCCACAGCCTCTATAAGCTGCCCTCAAGGAAAGTGCCGGCAGTTGGCAATTCCTGTGCCCACTAGGCATGTTCCAGGGGTGGGAACATGCTGTATGTCCCTGTGACCCTCTGTTTGTGCCTGCAGACAGCACTCCATCTGGCTGTACATCTGGACCAGCCAGGTACAGTTCGGGCCCTGGTGCTGAAGGGAGCCAGCCGGGTGCTCCAGGACCGGCATGGTGACACAGCTCTGCATGTGGCCTGCCAGCGCCAGCATCTAGCCTGTGCCCGCTGTCTGTTGGAGGGGCGGCCAGAGCCAGGCAGAGGACCACCTCACTCCCTGGACCTCCAGCTGCAAAACTGGCAAGGTACAGGCAGCCTCAGGGCTCCTGGGATGAGGAGGGCACAGAAAACAAGGACCCCACTCTCAGGAAAGGGGGTCATAGCTTCTCCATTGATGCATCTCCAGTTCTAAGCACATAGGTACTTAGTACATCTTCGCTGAATGAATGAATGAATGAATGAATTTGAGAATTTACTGAGAACTTACTGTGGGCTAAACAGAGAGCTAAACCTCGTCCTCAAGATACTCAGTTTAATAGAGATCAGATGAACTCATTAATTCATTCAACAAAAATGTACTGAGGGCCTCTATGTTTCAGATACTATTCTAGGACTGGGCTTGCATCTGTGAACAAAAAGGAACGATTGAGACAGACAATAAATATAAGAAGTGAGTTCTTTAGTCGGTTACAAGTCAGTAAGTGCTATGAGAAAGTAGAGCAGAGTAGAGAAGAACTGGAATGTGGGGGATGTGATTATATGATTAAATAGGGTGGTCAGGAAAAGCCTCACGGAGCAGGGGACATTGGAGCAGATACTTGAGGGAGGTGAAGGATGTGAATCTGAATCTAGTTCCCTAAGCAGAGGGGGATCCAGGCCAGAAAGGAGATAGCAAAAAGGCTAGGGAAGCACACTGGAGGAAGTGGACCTGGGGAGGGGCTGGGGGCATGAGGATCCCAGAGATATCTGAAGAAGGTGGCTTTGGACCGGGCTTGAAGGCAAGCAGAGTTAGAGTTAGAGAATGGGGAAGGGGTGTGTTGGGGGAGGGTAGGTGTATGGGGGTGTCACTCAGCAACCTGACCCCTGAAGCGTGAAAGTTTCAATAACATGACTCTGAAAAGGTGGAAACTTTGAGTTCCTTTCCCCTCAGACTTTTGAGGGGTTTTTTCGGGCTTGTGTTTTAACAGCCCCATGATCAAAAGTATTGAGTGGGCAGTGGGTCCCTTGGGGCTGAAGGGTAGGGAGGTCCCTGAAGAGTGGGAGAGAATTGGTAGGTGAAGATTAGCAACCCCCATGTTCACCCCATCCCAGGTCTGGCGTGTCTCCACATCGCTACCCTACAGAGGAACCAGCCACTCTTGGAACTGCTGCTTGAAAACGGAGCTGACATTGACACACAGGTGAGGCAGCCAATCAGGGCACTGCCCCACCACCTGGTCCAGCCCCGGGTCCCCTCCCAGTGTCAGAAATGGTGGTACTCACCTTCTTATCCAGGGCCCAGGCCCAGCATGCTTCCAGTCAGGGCGTTGACTGACATACTTATTCTCCTCCAGGAGGGTACAAGTGGGAAGACAGCACTGCACCTGGCCGTGGAGACCCAGGAGCAGGGTCTGGTGCAGTTCCTACTCCATGCTGGTGCCCGGGTAGATGCCCGCATGCTCAACGGGTGCACACCCCTGCACCTTGCGATGGGCCGGGGCCTCAGCAGCATCTCATCCACTCTGTGCAAGGCAGGTGCAGACTCCCTGCTACGGAATGTGGAGGATGAGACTCCCCAGGACCTGGCTGAGGAGGTAAAAGGCATACGCTCAGCTCTGCTATCCAGGGCCTCCCATACCCATAGCAGAGACAGGCGCAGTAATTGCTGAAAGGGCCAAGGTGTTAGGACACAGGCTGCCATCCAAGATTCTGCCACTCACCAACTGTGAGCAAGACTCTGCCCTAGGGCCCAAACTTGGACTCCTATAGGAGCCCTGCAGCTAAAGTGGATTAGTGAAACAGGCCAGGCATAAGACAGTGGGGTACTAGGGCCTGTGGGAAATCAGAGCCTCTTCCTGAGGGTCACACTATTAAGCTGCAGCAGATAGTTGTAGAGGAGGAATATGGGCCCAGGTCTTGGGAAATTTTTAAGAGAAATGAAACCTAGATTTTCTGTACAGTCTCCCATTTTTAAATGTTCAGTGTAAAAAAATATTCAAAATGTTTGTGAGTACCCTTCCCCCACCACCTTCTCCCCCACAAAAAAACAGACTCTTGGGCTGGATCACCTCCTTGGTCCTTCTTATCTGTGGTATTCTAGTATTATCTTAGAGTCAGGGTTTGCCTAAGTCCTCAGGGCTCTGCCTAGCCCAGAGGGGCCACTATTTGGGAGATGAGTAGGAAGATTTGTTCCCTGATATCCAACTATTATTTTGTAGGGAGGAAATGGCCCAATTCCCTTTCCCACTGCCTTTTCCTCTGGACTCTGATCGTGCTTCTCCCCATTCTCTTTCTCAGCTCTTTAGTATTTTGCTCTTCGATGACCTGAAGATCTCTGGGAAGCCACTACTGTGCTGACTGAAGCCAGGGCAGGGTCTGGAGCCTTAGAGGCTTCACCTCTTCCCATCTGGAAGCTGGAGCCACAGTTGCTGCAGCTTGGGCCCCAGCAGTGTGCCCTTATGGTGTCATGGGGACTGCTGAGGCCAGCCAGCACAGTCCTGAGCTGAGAGGAAGGATTGCAAGTGAGAGAGAGCCAGCCTGGAAGGAAGCGCTTCCCAGGTGGACGGAGCTTCTTGGAAGACCCCCACCCCAGGTATCCTGGGTGAAGCCTGTTTCTCTCTATGGAAGATGGCATGGGCTCTTGTTTCTACCCACATTGGGTCTCCCTGAAACTGCCAACCAGTAGGAAAACATGGACTCTCCTGAATGAGGAGAGAAGCTGAAATACGAGCAGGCAGGGCCCTGAGTGGCTCCATCTCACTGCTATGAGGACTCTTAAACACTGGTGTTCAAAGACTTCACACAGAAGGCCCAGAATGGAGCCTTGGGAAAGGGGAAGTTTCAATAACATGACACTAAAACAGTAAAGACTTTTAAAAGGTTTTATCCCCCTTGAGTTGTTTTACTCACATTCATGTCTGTGTGCCTTGGGGATTTTTTGACAGCACTGCCCTGTGACCTTGTGGTAGAGGCCAAGAGAAGGAAATTGTCACCTGAGCAGGGTAGGAACTTGCTAGGCAGGGTATGGGGGGCTAACAGTCCTCAGGCCGCTCTGTCCAGCACAGACCTTTCTGTGGAAATGCAGAGGGGTGGAGGAAGAGAAAGAAATACGACACAGGCAGGAGGCCTCACCGCTGCCCTGGGGGTTGCCATCTGGAGGAACCTGGGGAAAAGGACTAGCCTAGGTAAGGTGACACAAGGGAGCTGTGGCTTTTTATGTTTTTTCTCATATTCCACACATGTTTGAGGGCCCTGTTAGGTCAGGCCTATGCTGAGATGAAGAAGAACGTGGGGGAATAAACCAACACAGTCTCTGGCTACTTGGGGCACATAGTCTAGTGAGTGAGACAGCCATTAAAATCATAAATGTGTGTTCACATGTAATATGTAAATATCTAACTACAACTTGCAATGGGTACTGTAAAGGAAAAACTAGAGGGAAGTTGAACAATGGAGTGGGTGGAGGGCCATACGTTGAGCGGTCAGGGGAGGCCTCTGAGCGTCATCTCAACTTGGACATAAGGATGAGTAAGGGACGGGGGAGGGCACTGCAGGAAGGCTATTGGTGAATTAGAGGAACTGAGAACAGGCCAGTGGGGCTCTACAGTGGGTGGGTGAGTGGGGCCAGGTCATGCAGAGCCTTAAAGGTCATGGGGAGTTGGGGGGGGGGGACCCAGCCAAGAAGGGGAGACACATCTTCTTGTCAGAAAACGGTAGCAAGGGGAAAGTGCTGGCGACGCAGAACCTCAATGTCCCCGTGCCTAAGATGGCAGTGATCTCCAGTGCCTCCCTGGCTGGTTGTGAGGCTAAGGGCCATGACAAAGCAGGGGAAGGCACGGGGCTGGGGGTTCCCTAACTCCCCTACCCAGAGAAGCAAGCACCCAGGCACCGAGCCACGTGTCCCTCCGAGCCGCGCGGGGGCGCTGTGGCCCGGCGGCGGCCCGTGGCCCTGCGTGGTCGCGGCGGTGGGGTGAGGACGGCGGGGAGATAGGGGCGGCCGCGGGGAGGGAGGGAGGCGGGAAGATCGCGGCACTTCCGCTAGCCGCTGGCTCGCTGGCTGATTTTGGAGGCGGCAGCGGGAGCGGAGGGAGCGCGCGGCCCGGGGCCCCGCATTCCCCGGCCCCCCTCCGCCCCACGCAGCCCAGATCATGGATGCCAGGTTGGGGGCTTGGGGGCGTCAAGCCCACGTGACCCAGCCCCCGGGCCACGTGACTGTCGCTCCTCAGCCCGGGGGGCCGGGTGGGGTCCCAGCTGCCGGGCGGTGGGCGGGCAGAGCGCTGCCGCGAGCCGGCAGGGCTGGCGAGGTTGGGGACGCAGCGTGGGCTTGTGCCCCTTGGGGGACTTTGGGAGTGTCAGGCGGAGGAGGTGGGGAACCCCGGCGTTCTCGGAACCTAGAGGGCAGGGTTGGGGGAGGGGGCGCCGCCTCTAGCCCGAGCAGCCGGCGAGCGCTGAAGGGAACAGAGGGAACCTGTGTGGCTGGAGGGGCGGATCTGTCCCCGGGGAGGGAGGGAGCCCTGCCTAGCCGGCGCCGGCCCCCCAAGGAGAGAGAGAGGCTCTTTGTCCGTGCTGGGCTGCAGCTGAGGGGGGCAGGAAGGCGATTCCGGGCCCTTCTCCAGTGTGGTCCCCTCTGGAGGGCCGAATGGATGAGGAACTGCACCCTAATACTTTGTCTGCTGTCCCCACAGGTGGTGGGCAGTGGTGGTGCTGGCTGCGCTTCTCTCCCTGGGGGCAGGTGGGGAGACCCCCGAAGCCCCTCCGGAGTCATGGACTCAGCTATGGTTCTTCCGCTTTTTGGTGAATGCTGCTGGCTATGCCAGCTTTATGGTACCTGGCTACCTGCTGGTGCAGTACTTCAGGCGGAAAAACTACCTGGAGACAGGTGTGTGGGGAAGTATGCTAGGTCCGCATTTAGAGTGCTGGCCAGCCGTCCAAACAAGGATGTGGCTTGGAAAGGGAGGCAGGACAGCAGGCCCGATAGCAGGGCGGGCGGGCTGCTCTGGGGAAGATGAAGTGCTGGGGGGAAGACAGGGGCTTGACCTTGTGTGCATTCTTCAGGCAGGGGTCTCTGCTTCCCCCTGGTGAAAGCTTGTGTGTTTGGCAATGAGCCCAAGGCCTCCGACGAGGTTCCCCTGGCTCCCCGGACAGAGCCTGCAGAGACCACTCCCACTTGGCAGGCCCTGAAGCTGCTCTTCTGTGCGGTGGGACTCCAGGTAGGTGGGCAGGCAGGCGGGCTCTGCTTCTCTTCCTGGGTTGGCTCCAGGGGTCAGGAACTGTGGAACCGAAGTTTTCACCCTACCAGCCCCAACAGTGTGCTGGTTGGTATGTTATGTGCCCACCTCCTCCCAGAGGCACACTGTACCACCGTCTTCTTAGAGTTGGTTGGAGGAAATGTCTGTTTTCCCTCTTTTCTGTGATTTATACTGTGCTACTATTCCACATCCCCCCTGCAATGATGTCTCATATATTGTAAACCTAATGGTAAAAGTTTGGGGAAGCCATTCAGTCTTCCCCCACACTACATGAGAGGAGGGGGGGGGGGCATGTGAGCGCTAAGATGCTGACCTCATAGCATTTTGGGGTGGGCATTACTAGTTCCACCTCATATACCTTATTGAACTGACAGATGTCTGATCTCTAAGAAGTCTTGCCTCCCCTGAATTGGGAATAAATAAGAACATACTTCGGATGAAGTCAGTTCTAACATACCCTACTGTGGAGAGAGTCTGGGCAGTCCTAAAGCATTTGTTGCACACACACTTGATTCCCTACGAGGTGAATCCAGGCTTGAGAGAGAAGGGGAAACTTCTCGTTACTACAGAGGGACCAAAATACGCGTATGCTGTCCTTTAAATCATTTCAGTAGCGTTCTGAAGAGGGAGGTTGTTGAGAGCTTTTTGCCCACTTTTTCCTTATCTTCTCTATTTCCACCCTCCCCCACCCAGGTTTCTTACCTGACTTGGGGAGTGCTGCAGGAAAGAGTGATGACCCGCAGCTATGGGGCCACAGCCACATGGGCAGGTGAACGCTTCACAGACTCACAGTTCCTGGTGCTAATGAACCGAGTGCTGGCACTGATCGTGGCTGGCGTCTATTGCCTCCTCTGCAAGCAGCCCCGACATGGGGCACCAATGTACCGGTACTCCTTTGCCAGCCTGTCAAATGTGCTTAGCAGCTGGTGCCAATACGAAGCTCTCAAGTTTGTCAGCTTCCCAACCCAGGTGCTGGCCAAGGCTTCTAAGGTGATCCCTGTCATGCTGATGGGAAAGTTGGTGTCCAGGCGCAGCTATGAACACTGGGAATACCTGACAGCAGGTCTCATCTCTATTGGGGTCAGCATGTTTCTGCTGTCCAGCGGACCAGAGCCCCGCAGCTCCCCAGCCACCACACTTGCAGGCCTGATCCTGCTGGCAGGCTACATCGCCTTCGACAGCTTCACCTCAAACTGGCAGGATGCCCTGTTTGCCTATAAGATGTCATCGGTGCAGATGATGTTTGGGGTGAACTTCTTTTCCTGCCTTTTCACAGTGGGCTCTCTGCTAGAGCAGGGGGCTCTCCTGGAGGGGACCCGTTTTATGGGGCGACACAGTGAGTTTGCTGCACATGCCTTGCTGCTGTCTGTCTGCTCTGCATGTGGTCAGCTCTTCATCTTCTACACCATTGGACAGTTTGGGGCCGCTGTCTTCACCATCATTATGACCCTCCGCCAGGCCTTTGCCATTCTCCTGTCCTGTCTCCTCTACGGCCACACCATCACTGTGGTAGGGGGGTTGGGGGTGGCTGTGGTCTTTGCTGCCCTCCTGCTTAGAGTTTATGCCCGGGGCCGGCTAAAGCAACGAGGAAAGAAGGCTGTGCCTGTCGAGTCCCCCGTGCAGAAAGTTTGAGGGATCCAAGGGGCAACATGGAAGGCCCTCTCGCCCTATCTACCATACCATTTTCCTCTCCTACTGTTCACTCCTCAGAGGCTGCTGGCTCAAGGGCAAAATGCAGGCGTTTCCTGTATCACAAACCAGCTCTGCAGTTGGGGAGCCCAGGAGGCAGCCTTCTTTTGCCTTAAGTCACCAAACCCCTAGTAGGCAGGCTTCTTGAGCCCCAGGGAAGAGGAGTCCTCAGTGTGGAGGGGCTTCTCCCCTCAAATTCCCTTAAGTCTTGCCCTGTTGGCTCTGCCACCAACACCTCACCTGTGCTTGTCCCCTATCTTGAATATCCAACCCTTTTAGACTTCCAGAGACCTGCATTTCTTACTCTGGTGAGAAAAGCACAAGTATTGTAAGCTCCGAATGCTGCTTTCCTAGGAGTAAGTGGAAGATGGTGGTGCGGTGCTAGAGGGGGATGGGAGAACCCTGCCCAGCACCACCACCCTATGCTCCTGGGTCCCTAGGCTCTGCTCCAATGAGCCAGTTGCAGGTTTTGGTACTTTGGAAATGTTTAACTTTCTGCTCTCATAATTTTATTTTATTAAATTAAAATGCTGTAGTGGGCTTGGTCCCGTGTTTTGGTTGACTTGCATTTACCTTTACCCAATGTTTTGTAACTTAAAACTGCTACACAGCCCCGTGAACTTTGCTTTTGATGTACTACTAGTATGTACCATATAACCAGTACTCAGGATGATGGCAGGGAGGATTTGGAGAGAAGCTAAGCAAACTTCAAAGGTAGCATTCTATCCACTTTACAAGGGAGCAAAACTGTATAAAACTGCATCTTCTTTATTTTGCATACTTTAATTTCAGAACAAAATAAACAAACAAAAAAATCCCCACGACACAACATTCCAAACCCAATGTCAAATGTGGGAAGGGAAGGCTCGAGGCCCTTGTATCCTGCCTTAGGCAGAAAGACAGGAGAGGAAAAAACCACTAGACATCAGCAGAGAAAACGAGGTGGGC